AAATAATAATGATATGATGGTGCCACGTGTTGTGAAAACATCCATATATATCATATTCACTCTCCATCGAAATGGTGCCTTACATAATTAAGTCTGAATATATGTCCTTCAGTTCATTTTTATATGTCTTTGTCCCACCTAGAAAAGAGATGAGAATGGTAAGGTAAAAACGAATGAGGCTAATTAAGAAATATTCTATTTATCAAGAAAAATAAGAAATGTGTGTAATGAGGCTAATTAAGAAATATTATCTCTATAGCGGCTAAGAGAGAAAGCTTCCGATTTGTGGGGTTGTCTCTTGGATTCCATCGGATTTTCGGTGATCTTCGGTTTTTTGTGGATTTATGTTGATTTACTCTTCTTTTGGCAAATTTATTGTCTCATATATGAGCTGGTTTTGGTTGTGCATCATCTTGCGATGCTGATCTCAATGTCACGTCCCGAAGGAAAATTAGCGGCAGTTGGTTTTCCTTTTGTAGGCGTTGTTTTAGCTTTTTTATTTTAGTTTATTTTGTTCAATAAGATTTCAGAAACTTAGTTGAGTTTGCTGAGTGTTCTCTTGAAGAGAGTCATGCCGGTTAGTGGCTAGTTTTTATCATTGATGTCATTGGTCTAGATTCAAGGATATTATGGTGATTGAAAAGGGTTATAGAAAAATTATTTTCAAGAGTGATTCTCTCTATATCGTTTTAGCTTTTCGGTTGGATCAGATCACTGGGAAGTTTCACTCATGTCTATCGTATTGTTATTGAAATGGCTCCCCTTTACATCTGTATCCTTTGTACTATTTATTCCTATTGATCTAATAAAATACTACAGCATTTTATCAGAAATGTCCTACTATCTTAAGCAAGTGTGCAACCTTTATTCTCTCATAAAGGTTGTATATACTTCTTCTTATCTTCTTTTCTTTTTCGAACTTTTATTTTTCTGCAGAAACAAGGCTACAAAACTTGTTGGAATATAAGATATATGGAAATGTCAATTTTTGCTTTTGCAAACGTAGACTGAAAAAAAAAAGAGCATTGGGCTGGATTTCATTGTGGATCTTGAAGACATTGTCACAACGTAAGGAAAATACATATAAACCCAAAGAAAGAAGGGTTAAGTGTCCAAATTGGTAAGAGTGTATTGAGATTAGGGTGATAAATTATAAGGAATATATATATATATGAAGGATAGAGATTGTCCAAAGAACATAGTTAGGACCACAAAGTCACTAAGCATTCATCTTTATGCTGCAAATAATTGTGTGGTCCTTCATTGACTTGCAGTACTTTTAATACTGTTTCTTTTTCAATCAAATATTATACTGTCATGTTAATGGTAAATATATAAACTAGCTCAAGGTAGCTAGCGTGGTAAATAAACTAATTGAAAAAGACAGATGAATCCTTTGTTGTTGTGGTTCTGAAAAAAGTTAAAAAAGAAAATCACATCATGGAGGAATGTTAATATCAAGCAAGTGGAGGGTCTTCGTGTTTTGGGTTTATAAATCATGAAAGGTTTGATAATTAAGACATTGCTTTCCTCTCTCTCTCTCGTCCTTTTTATTCTTTTTTTCCATGATCGATTTAGCTGTAACCTTCTTTCTTTAACCCACCATCCCCAACGAAGGTATAGGTTAAATAATTATATATCGATGTGGAGGATGTTAACCTCCAATCACCATCGATCCAAATGGACATCGCAAGGTAACAACCACCACAACTTATTTCAAAGGATAAATATTCCTAATTCTAGGATTTTCAAACTTACTTTTTGTAATTTCTCAACATTGTTATGTGTGCTTTGATACATTTGTTTTGGATTTGTAATCAAATAATCTCATTTGGGGAGAAAAGCGATAATTGTATTCATAACTTAGGCACAAAGACCATCAGTCACAAGGGCAAAATACAAATGCTCACAAAGGGGTAATATAAATATGGAAGCATAGTAACCACATAGGGTTAATCTAGATTAAAAGCCAGAGAAATTTCGACATAAAAGCCATATGCCTGAACAAACTTTACATGAATCACATCGCCCAAATATTCCAATACAACTACAACTTTTAACTCTCACAAGTATAAAATATAAGCATATACTAGAAAATAATCAAACACCCAACTCATAAAGAGTTTATGCAATTATTACAAAATAAGAAAACTGCAAACAAACAACCAAAAATCAACAGAGTCACTACCGTCGTTGGTACCATCGCTGCCTTGGAGATTTGAACATAAGAACTTGGATACATAAATAATTGCTTTTAACCACTCAAGCTACAAGTTCCTTGTCATTCTTACGAGAGTTTAACTAGAGATGGAAGTTTGGTGTAAAACTTAAATACAAAAAAGGACTTGGTAGGCCTTCCCTAGTTGTTGGAGCTTTCTTCAAAAGTGGCTCGGTGCTAATTTCCCCACACTTTGCATTTGGTTTTTTGGATTATGCTCTATTGAAGACAACCCATCCGGTGGTCTAGAGAGAATCCACTAGTCTAGGGAAATCCCTATAGTGACCCAAAATAGGGCTATAAGATTGAAAGCTCCTCTATGAGAATCCAAGGAAAATAGACTAGACTTTACAAATAAAACTTAATTGCCCCCCCTTCCTAACAAAGATGAGATTATAACACCACACCACACCATACAAAAACAAAGTCATCTCATCTCTCATGTGCCTCAAATTCAATTTGTGTGCTTATTCTAACTGTTACCCACTTCCCCCAGTTCCCTGTACTGTTTTCTCTCTTTAAATCACATGCTGCCATGCCATGCCATGCCATGCCATGCCACACACATATAATTTAAGCACATTGAAATCGTTTTTCTTCTTCTTTTTATAAATATAACAACACATGGAGGAGCATCATCTTTTCTGGCACTCATTTGAGCAAACCAATCCAACAGTGTCCCAGTCACGTCTTGCCTGGACTTGCATTTCAGGGGAAACACACTGCATGATGACTCTCAAAGTAAACTATATATGCTTCTTTCATTTCATATCATCCCCACCACTCCATTTTTTGAAAGTAACATTTTCTGCTAGTGTTGCAGGAATCTTCTAAGTCGATGTAATTAACTTCTAATTGCCTTGCATAATCTACAATTAGGTACAAACCCTAAACCTTTCTTCACAAGAAATTCTGGGCTAGGAACAAAGTTACAAATCATCCATGTGAGTTGGAGAGGTGGGTTCCATTAGCTGTTTCTTGTATCAGTTAATCAGTACCAGGTTTAATTTAATCAACTTTATTAACAATGTTTACAGATGAATTTAAAGTCAAAATCCAACTATCTGTTGGAGTAATGATTCGTTGAGAGAGAACCTTCTGTGCTTGTAATTAATTATGGTGCAGTTTTACTCTCTCACCAAACCCATGCCTGCTGCTATATATATTTTCCCATTCTGGTAAAGGGTGACGTGAAAGATAAATTACTTTGTTTTTTTTTTTTTTTGTTTAGAATCAAATGACTTTGTTCACTTTCAACTCCCCCTCATTAAGCAATCATTCTCATTCCGCAATAACTGATTTTCTTTAATTGGACCCTGTATATTCCTACAACTTCATTCACACTAAATGTGAAGAAAAAGGTCTCTCCTCCCATTTAATTATGAAAAAAAATTCATAGATTTTGAGTGGTCCCCCCTCCCAACTCATGTACATACTATCATAATTAACCACCCGATCAATTTGGCATAGTTCGCAGCATCTTAATGAAGTTTGTAAAATTACAATTGTCACACAAGTTTTGACTAGATACTCACTTCACAGATTCTTCTATTCTATTCAATTAACCGACATCCACGTACTTGTATGACGGTCAAGATATATCCAACTCCGTGTGTGCACATGCATCAACGGTGAGGATTAACCTCTATGTGCACTAAGATTGTTAGGGTCAATTGCTCGCTCAAAGCTGTATGAGCTGATTTGACTATTTGATGCATTTTGAGCTCCACGTAGACCAATGATCAATGGTCATACGAACATTGCTCTAAACTTTGAAATAAGGATAGGCAAGTGTAGAATCATGTCTCATGTAAATGGCCATCCCCATTTGCCACTAAAACGCCCCAGAGGGTAATTGACTGAGCGACCCATACTTGGCAGTTGGAGTAAGGGAAGGGCATGCAGGCACAGGACACGCCCCCACAAAAACAAGATTACTGACTTCATGAATGACAAAACACCAAAACAAACCCACACAGTGAGGGTGTGGTGGAAAAGACACTTTGATATTCAAGTACCACTTGCGTCATCATCATCATCTGTAAGATTATAATATAAATGAATTCCATTAAGATAATATAATCCACCTGCTGCTTCCCTTAAAAGGTAAGTGACAAAGCCATTACTACATCTCCAAGTTAACCAACTTACCTTATTAGATTATGCTTGTTTTAGCCAATTAATCATTACTTTCGGATCAGATTAACTTTATAATTAAAAAAAAATGAACACTAGTACTTTGAGTAGCCCCTAATTGTATTCAAGTACCACCAAAAGGTGACACATTCGCATTCCTTTTCCTTGTTATATGCATGCCTTTTTCTTGATTTAGAGGCATTAAATATATAAGGTCAGAAACTATGAATATCCATACCAGCACCATATGGTCCGTAGGGTAGGCTACATACCCATAATATATAGCAAGCCAACATAGTTAAAAAAAATTGGTGAAAAATGAAAGAGTTATAATAATGGGGATGTGGGTTTTGATTAAAAATGGTTTCTTTAGATCTCTCGGATCATTCTCTAGCTTGATAATTAAAAGCAAAGAAATGCGTAAAGCTAAAGGATAATCTAGAATAATTTGCAACTGCCCTCAATCTTCTGTTTTCGTGCTAACACTTTCTGCTTCTTTCTATCAGACACAAGATAAGAAAATCTCACTCTGATGAGACATTTGATTCAGAGATTACAAAGCTCTCTCTCTCTCTCTCTCTCTCTCACCTTCTGAAAAAGAAAAAGAGCACCCTGCAATTCCACTGCAGCTTATTCTCAGAGAACATGAACATTAAAAAAATTCATTACTTTTTTGTTTTTGGGGTTCCACAAATAAACTAAGCAGCTTCACATGATTAATACACAAAGAAGAAATAAATTATATCAGGGGATGAAATTGCTAATATCAAAACATATAGAGATGGGATGAGTAATGAAGCTATGAAAAACTAACAGAAGATATGCAAATTAATTCCCTTTTTTGGATCAATCAATCTCTCCCATCCCAGGTTATCCTCAACAAAGTGAAGTGATGATCGTCTCATTAATTAAACTAAACACAATGAGAAAGAAAGAAAGAAAAAAAGAAAATTAAGAGAGAGAGCAACTAATTAAGTAATTAATTAATAGTACTGGTCTTACTCTACTGCTAAACTCCTTATTATTCATCAAAAGGATCAAGAAGAAGACGACGACCCATTGGTGCCAACATGTCCCGCCGCACCACCATCAGTACCCTGGTAGTGATTTAAGTTCTGCATATCGCTGTTGTTGTTGGTGTTGTTGTCGTCGTTTTGTTCTTCATTTTCATCATCGTCGTTGTTGTTGCCGTTGCCGTTGCCGTTGCCGTTGCCGTTGTTGTGAGCTTGCTCAAGCAGAATGTTGGGTCTGCTAATCCCACCGCCACTGCCATTGATGACGTCTCTTTTGGCGAAGGTGTTCTTATTGTTGTGCATCCAAACCTTGAGAACCCCTTTGTCCACATTAATCTCATTGCAAAACTCCTGCACAATCTCCTCGTCCCGCTTCTGCATCTTCCACCCTACCCTCTCTGCAAATTGGTACATCTTGTCCTTCTGCTCCTGGCTGAACTTGGTCCTGAACCGCTTCCTCGCGTTCGGGCTCGGCGAAACAATTGGGGGTTGAGGACTATGATTGTTATTAGGACCGCCCAAAGCGTTTTCATGAGCCGTCGAAAGAGCCAAGAGCATGTGGGGGGCAGAAGGGTAGTAAGTGGACGAGATCGGCGGCGGGGAAGACGAATTGGGGCTTCGATTGCCTCCGTGCGTCGGCGGTGGAGGATGGTGGCGATGGTGGGGCTGGTACTCGATGACGTGCGTCGTGGCGGCGGCGGCGGATGGCGGCATGGGGTCTTCGGGGTCACGGCGGTGGAAATTGCGGTGGCAGCCGCATGCAGCGCATTTTAGCGAGGTGGGGTCCGTGGGTATGGCGGTTGGAGAGGGCATGAACTCGCCGCAGCCGTCGAGAGCGTGGCCGCCCAAGGTGGCTGCGTGGTTCTTCAGGCATTCTTTGTAGGTGACGATGACCGGTTGTGGCGCTTGAGGACGCCGTTGCTGAAGGACAAAGGCTTCGCGGGTTGGATCCGGGTCGGGGTTTCGCTGTCTGCTTCCGGGGATTTTGTGCTGGTGGTGTTGTTGGTGGTGGTGGTGATGGAAGGGGTTATATCCATCGCTCGAACATCTAAGGTGTCCAAAAAATAGTGCACAAAGTCAAAAAATGAAACAGAGAAAAGCTAAAAAGGCAGCTCCTTTAAGGGGTTAGGGTTAGATTTTTATACAGATTATTGCTTTGAGCAGCCATGGGAGCTCAGAGGGTGTGAAGAAAGAGAAGAAAAAAATAAGGAGGAGTGAGAAAGATGGTAGCTTTTGGGGAGAAGGAGAAGGGAGAAGGAGCTTAGCTGAGAGGATGATGATGATGAGCAGTGATGACTGTCGATAATAAAAATCTGGGTTTTGTGGTTGTCCTTCTTAACCACTTGTTTTTTTAACCCTGGTTCTAATCCATGGTTAAGTTGCTGACCCCACCTTGGGGTTAGATCGATGTTGTGTGTAATAAATATACCTTAGCGGCTTTAGCTCCATTGAAATTGACCCTCAAAATTTCCCATTATGATTTTAATCAAATCATGGACTTAGGAGACGCTTATATTTCAAGTCCTACTCATGGGTCATGTCCGTGACATGCGATAGTCAAAATAATGTTATTCCCGTAACATGTAAATTCTTTTTTCGTAAGTAGAAAAACCTGTTTGTATCGAAATGGTAATATTATTTTGATATCCCCAACGAACTTAAATGAATGAAAATAATAAAATAATATTATCCTCATAACATATGAGTTATTCTCTCTCATAAAGCCTTTTGTTCTTGGGTAACCCCTCGGAATTAAGGAAGCATTTTTTAGCAATAATTATTATGACTCGGTTGTAGAACAGGCCGAGTTGAGCCGGGTAGTTGTTCATAATGTTAATGAATTAATAAAAACCGGAGGTGATGAGGCCCTGCAAATCTCAGACAGTGACTGTAACCCATCTTTAATTTGGTCAAGTTGCACAGTGAGCCCCTGGACCGCTTTCAAGGTGACTAACCTTTTCAAATTTGTTTTTGCCACCTCCCTTTACACTTTTTGACACACTATGGCATGTGCACACACAAAGACCATTTTACCCTTATTTCACAAACCACAATGGTACATGATTGTAATTTACATCCAACGGGGCCTTTTGGCAATGTTGGCTTTTTTGAACGATAGGGGAGCGAATCCATAAAAAATCCAGGGTGTTTAGGGCACCACGTCCCTAGAAATCAAAGGTATCTTTGTCGGCTTGAGAGAATTTTCGGAACATTTTGGTCTTCTCAAGCCCAAACGACATCGTTTCTCTGCTGCCTTAATTGGCCCCGCCTTACGCAAACCGTACCGTAAAACTGGGTCGGCAGCGCAGAATTCTGAGACACTCGAATTTGGACCTTAGTGCATGAGCTTAATCATACTTAATACGTAATAAACCACCTTTAAACAACGACACGTGTTTACGGAAAGTATGTGGCGACACATGTGTGCTACACTTGGTCGCTTGTGCGAGCCACGTGGCACCGTAAACAGGTTGTATCGCGGATTATTAAAGTCAGATTTAGTAAATACTGGACAGCGTTAACAATGAATTAAGATAAGGTGAGGGGAGTGATCCGGTGTGCTTGCAGGATTATCGTAGCGTGTGGTGCGGTGCGTAACTTTTTTCTGAAAACCGTTTGGGTGCACTGACTTTGGTGTAGTTTATAAATCATGGGATAATTTGACAGATCAAAGCAGTAATTAAATTTAGGATTACCGGTGGGAATGGTGAAAAGGTCGGGGATGACGTCAGCGGGCCAATCATGGAGGAGCTAAGGTTTAATCATCGAAGGGCGTGTTAATCCACAGCCGTTGCATCCATTTTGCATCGAAACTCGCAACCCCGTTAACTTTATTACGCAACCTTGTTTTTCCATGCGGCTACAAAATTAAGAAAACGGATATTGTTATTTTTACGAATTATAATTGTTTGTCTCATAAATATGCGACGCGAAAACGGAAAAAAGCTGACAGGTCAACAAGAGGTCACTAAAAAGTTCAACCCTTGTGATAAAATGAAATTATAAAACTCTGAAAAAGAATTTTGTTAGCCACACAATTATATATATATCGCGTATTTACACATATCATGCATAATACATACACGAAGGAAAAGTCTGGGGCCCTAAAAATCGGGCGTTGTGCGATGGTACCATTTGCACACCTTTAAGATCGATTCTAATTAAAAGCATTTACTCACACACCTAAAGTTTCGAGTTCGATATCTTTAGTTTGTGAGGATGGTAGAACCCATTCATTCCAAATAGGGTAAGGGGACTATTGGGTTGGGGACACAAGGCACATGGGGGTTGCCTGTATCAGGATACATGCCTTAATTATAGGTTTAGACTCATTTCTCTTAGGCCCTCCACCACTTTTAAATTGCTAATGGAAAACAGAGCTGTGTTTGTTGTATGACTTTGTCCCAAGTTCCAAGTTGTGCACGCCTAAATCTAGTGACTTTGCTCCCGGATTCACTGGTGGAGCCCATGATCTTCAAATGGGACCCAAATTACAACTTCTGAGCTTGCTAGCCAGCCAAAGCTCCTAATCAGTCCTGACCATGACCATGACCAGGGGATGGTATAGGGACGCTCCACCTAGCTCATACCTACAAACTTCCCATCCTTAGGGACACCGTCACATTTTGCTATGACTTCCTACTTCCACTCTCCTCCTCTTTCCCCTTTGCTTTTTAACCTTTCAATGTCTAAGGGATAATTTGACGGTGGCGAGGCCGGACTTGACAAGATTATTTTAATTAAAATGAACTTGTTCAACTTTCACATATTCAGCGTTTTCAATAAGGTTATAGAATTGAATTCATTAAATTGGACACTAATCTGACATGTTTGAACAAATCTCGTGTTTAGGGGAGCATAAGGAGAGCGGAACAAGGGCAATCCCTCTATATATATATACTAAATGTAGGATGCTATGAAACATGATTAGGACTCGATAAAGAATTTTGAAAATCGGAAGTATATGTAGATTTAGGCAATCTTGTTAGGCGGGCCTAATTGAGATCAATAAGTAACCAAGTGCATGCACAAATCCAATTTAGCAATGGGTTATGGTCCAACCCAAAGCACTGTATTGATTGAACCCTCAACACAAGTTATAAATGAAGACTTGTTGATCAGTGCAACGAAAGAGACACTACAATTAACTTAATCCATAAGTAGTGCAAAGCAACCCCAGTTTTGGCACATAGCAAAACAAATGAAGTCAGAATAATCGTGCTTGTCGTTGAATTAACGTACGATTATCAAACTACCAGAGAAGTCCCAGGTACAAACAACATGTTCGTTTCCCGTGTGTGTCGTCTTCAATCTTATCATAGGGTTGCAGATGACAAAACGTTGAAAAATCAAATTAAAACCAATAATGCAAATAATATTTTGTTTGGACTGCGAAATGCAACCTGAGGACTGTGCCAAAGTGTGAAAGCTCAGCTACCCAATTAAATCAATTGCAAAACCCTCAATCATGCATTTGGACCATCAGACCAATTTCCCTACCATTCCAAGTAATAATGGTGGTTTACATAAATACTACCACCCCAATAGTACACAATCATTGAAATATAAATGTGATATTGATGGCCATTTCCACATTATTTCGTTTCTCCTAAAGTTTTCAACTTTTAAGCTCTGGTTTACTCTTCTCTTTGACAAGTTACGGGTTAGGGTTTGAAAGCTAGGGTTCTTTTGTAAGTGAAGAGCAATGTCATCTCAAAACATAGAGAAGAGTACACTACACTAATTACTCTGATAATTATTTTGGTCAAACTAAAGGAAAATTTAATTCACGCATTGAGTAGCTAGGAGTCTAGCAGTCAAGGAGTAATATTGTTGTGTCTCTTCATATTTGTTTAATGCTACTTTTACATGAAAATTGACCCACAAAGGACATCAATATTGCCCCTTCTCTTTTTTTGCTTTAATTTTATAATGATTTGGGTAACTTCGTAGGGAATTTTTTTTTTTTTTTTTATTTTTTTATTTTACTAAAGTGATATTATACTTTAATTTAATTTAAACTACATTCGAAGGAATTCGAGTGAGGAGCACATTCGCTCTCTAACCAACTTGATTAAGCCCGTATCTTCAACTTATTAGTAGGTAGGATTTTGATTTTTATTAATTTTGAGAATCACCAATTTGCTCAATTACCTAACCAACCCAGCAACTACTTGCCAAACTATTCAAAACCTGACCATTCTCTCTTGTGCTGAAAAAGTCAAAAAGAGTTCAAGAATCAGGTATTTGGGTTCCAATTCCTAGTACTTAATTAAGTAGGATTTTTCTAGATGTAGCTGGTACGTATAGACTTAACTAAACTAATAAGTCCTAATCATAGATTCTTCAAGAATTAAAAATACGAAAAATTTCTTACATCTATATGTCCAAGGCTAGAGCTACGCCATAACTGGTTGGTTTCTTTAGGACGGTAGCTCTACTTGTTGTCCTTTTGCCAAACCTCGGATTCAAAACGAACAAGATATCATACATTTGGGGGGTTGATGAAATTTCAAACTAATAGCGTCGTACGTGGTAAAAAGGCTGCCTGCATGAGCTCAGGCTGCTTTTCTAACAGTGCTCCCTTTTCTGGGTAGGTAATAAATGAGATATATTGACCTTGGTCAAATTGTAAAAATAAAGAATATTATTAATAATGTAAACAGTTGGATCGAGTAGTTTTTTTTTAATACTTAAACTATAGGGATGAGTATTTCTCACACAAACACAACAATGATACATAGAGGTTCGAACTTGCAAACTATAGTCTGTAAGTTAAGGTACTTTTGTTACTAGGCTAGGTCCCGTTGGAAATAGGATCGTATAGTTAATATGTGGAGATGGGACGTTTTACACTTTTTTTGTTTTGTTTTCCCATATATATGTGGTCTATGACCTACGTGGAGGACACGTCGGTAATTTGTCTCTCATTAAGTTATTAGAGTCTATTTTATTTTTAATTAAATCATGAAAAACGTAAGGGTTGAGTTGAGACTGTGGGCATAAAGTGAGTACAACTCCAATGGATACGGCAGCTAAAATTATTGCAGAGAGCTTAGCCCCAAAGATGAGTGTGCAAGAGTCAAAATCATGACCTATGTTTCCAGAAACACAATGTTGATTGAGCTACTACCCACGAGGAGGATGAGGTTAGGCAAATTATGAAAGAAACAAACTTGATTGACAGATTGTGGTTTTCTTACACAAGGCAATAATTGTTATGATGCCACTTCTCCTACCAAGTTTCACACGTATAATTTAGACTATCGCTTATATTAACATAAATCTTCCAATTAATTGCCTAATTACGCAAGCAAAGCCATGGACCCTG